AGAATTTCAGGTTCAGGGTTCCTGAATAGAGTTTGGGGTTCAGGGCTCCTTAAACGGAGGGTTAGCACGTTTCGCTTGCAGCTGAGCTAGAAAGTCTTTTCAGCCACTCGCTTACAGTTGCGTTCAAAAATATATCTGGCAAGGCCAACTTCGCGCGGTCTTAAGACCTCGGAATTGTCTGAGGGTTCGTATCTGTTATGCCACCATGCCCCAAAAGCAAAAGGCTGGGACTTCGGATGCTGGCATTCTGGCTCAGGGCTTGGGGCAAACCACGCAGCTGGTTACCAAAATCGGTGGAGCGAAGCCATGGCTCAGTGCCGTGATGCAGAGGCACAGGTGCTGAAGATGACGCGGGCGCGAGCCAAGGCGATGCTCATGGAACTGATTGGCGAGTACTCCACCAAGAGCTTCCAGAGCAAGCTGGGTGACGTCTTGCAGAAAGAAGCCCAGCAAGGTGGAGTTTGCGACGAATCGCCAGGCCGTTGGGCGTTGGCAGAGGGGTGCCATGCCGACATTTATGCTCGCTACGGCTTCAAATCCGGAAATGGTGTGGAGCGCCTCCGNNGACAAGGTGCAGAAGCTGTGGAAGCTGTTGGGCTTGAAGTCCTCACCCTCAGAGTTGTTCACTGAGGACAAGCCGCAAGAGGTTTCGCAGGATTTGTTCATACCCTTGAAACCCAAGAAGAGAGCTTTGTCGAAGACAAGGGCTTTGGCCTTTCAGGCAGAGCTTCTCGGGGCATTCTCTGCTCCAGCTTTCCAGAAGAAGTTGGCAGAGATGTCAAGAAAGCATTGTGCGCACTTGTACGATGCTGACGGCAAAGCCGAGCTGGATGCAATCTTGGAGAAGACGAAGCTCCAGATCTTACCGCTCTACGGCTACGAGGCCTCCACGAAAGGCTTGCGGGACATGGAGCATGACATGCAGCAGTTTGACAATGATTCGGACATCTTCGTCAACGCCATCGCTATCGAAGAAGTGCTCTTCCCACATTGCCAGAGCGGGCGCGTGCCGACAGCGGAGCAAGGGCCGGTGGGCCGACCGGGGCCAAAGCCGACCTCTGCTTTCACAGTCGCAGCTTTGTCATCGTTGGATAACCTTTTACATTGTAAGAATTCTTATGGGTACTTACATGCAATACGGAGTAGAAATTTTTAATGATATTTATCCCAAACAATGCACCAGGCAAAGCTGTTGCGAAAGCAGCTGGCGGCCTTCAGTAGCCCAAGCTTCCAGAGTGCGATCTCCTGCTTGAAGCGCAGCGCGGACGTGGAGCAGGCATGCGAAGGATACTACCACTTAAGGGGCCGAGCCGACCTAGCCTTGCCGGTACAGCGCCGAATCCTGCCTCAGTTTGGCTTTGAGGGTTCGCGAGCCGGCGTGCTGGACATGGTAAGCCACTGCTCCCAGTTCATCATGGATCCGGAAGTTGGGGGGCTCTTCGACGACATCAACTTGAAGCTTGGGATGACGCCCAGAGCCTGTGCTCGGTTCCGTGACACGGCAGCTTTCAGCATCGCCGGCAGCAGCAAGTGATTTAGACTTACAGCGGCCATTGCGGCCTCCCGTGAAATGCAGAATCTTGAAGTGTCAACCTGAACCGAGAGCAGTAAAATGAGTATGTAGCTCATAGCTCGTTATCGTACGTGAGTAATTGGTCAGAGCAGGTCGGGCTGCTGCAAGAGCTTGGCATACAGTCAGAATGCTATCCGCTGACGATGCCTTGCGATCGGTACTGCTTTTCTTTGCCAAGTGCAGTACCTTACCTTGCAGACTTCACGACGTTTAGCTGTGACCAACGGGTCGCTAGTACAGCTAAGCCTCTCCGGTGACGGTTGGCTCCTCAACCTCTTAATGTTATTCGGTGCAACGTACAGCGCACCAGAGAATCCTGAGATTGCAAGAGCTCTTGTGTATATAGTCTTGTGACAGTGCAGGTGACTCCAGCCGGCGCTCTTTACTCCAATTTAAAGGGTGGGCGCCGATTTCAAGCTGGCCCACGGGTGTCACCCACCTGTCGCCTTTCTCAATTCTCACACCTTTCGTTCCTATGCTGGAGAGCACACAGAGCTGCTCTGCTGTTTTGCTTGGGCCTTTTGATTCTGGCACAAGGAAGCAGGGGTCCAGCGGCGCATCTTCAGGTCTTCTTGAAGGCCTCCTTAGTTTCGAAACCTCCTCAAGTTGTGGTATATTAGTATATGCATGTAGGTTTCCGGCTATTGCAAGGCATGCGATGTGAAGCTGAGTGTTGTGATTGACTGTGGAGGAGGCTGTATAGTTTACAAAGCCGCGGCGTGCCTAGTGCAGCTTCATGCAAGCTACCGCCTGCCCGGAATGTTGGCCGGACAGCTGGATGTGTTGCATTTATGAAAACCGTCCGGCCGCCTATTTTGAGATGGCTTGTGGGTTCCTTGCTGTGCTGAATGAGCATGTAGAGGCTTGTAGATGCAGGCCAGAGGGGTTGAAGTGATTTTAGTACCCTAAACCCTAAACCCTGAGTGTCTTGGCAGTGCTGAAGATCTTCGTCAATCGCAGGGGCTCGGTCCAAAACCTCACCATCCTGGCACAGAAGGGCCTCTCACAAAATCACCCTACTGCTAGGGTCTATGTCAGGATCCCCGATCTGCTGCAGTGCCTGTATAGCATGGGCCAGGGGCCCTTCTTGCAATGGAGTACGTGCAATATACACCGAATCCCTACACCTGTCCGAGTTGTGATAGCATAATTACCTTAAATCCTGGTTTCACCCCAACAGGTTACACACCAAGAACAGAGAGCGGGGCCCGAACTCAACCCTAAGCCCGAAACATATATAGCTAAGGAGCATCCTTAATTTCAGCCACGTTGCTTTCGGCCATATGATAGAACTCTTAATAGGTCCCTTATCGAAGCCCTTATAGAAACAAAACTACAGGGGCCTTCCTCTTCTAATCCTTAAATGTTGCCTATTCTTCAAAGGCCTCACCTAGATCCCCAAGCCCTCGAAGCCCGTACCAGTAGCCCTCATTTTTGAACCCTTAGAGTCACAGGGAGCCCTTAGAGAGCCCTCGTAGGAGCCCCTTTAGGGAAGCTTGGGGAGGAACCCGGAGAAGCCAAAAATCCCTAAACTAAGGAAAAACCTTGAACTTAACTGTAGGGTTTAGGGCCTGGGGTTCAGGGATCAGGCACCCAAATGGCATAAAGACTATTCCTTAATCAAGGAGTATAATTGAAGCTATGATCACCCTAGCATGATACAACGTCTATTCTTGGATTAAGGAATATCGGAATATCCCTGACAGTTGCACCACCCTAACATGATACGAGTTGAACCACCCTAACATGATACGGCATCTTCCTTAAACTCTAGACTCTAGAAGGAACCCCGACATGATCTAAAGCCTATTCCTTACTTAGCAGCTTTATTTTGGAGTCTCGTTGAACGCTGAAAAAGGCAGACCTTCGGTGCACTGGCGATCTGGAGCGCCTTCATGCTGCCCTTCACGAGGTGAGGGTGTATGGGACCTTCCGAAAGCTAGGGTTTAGGGTTTCGACTCACACACTCGAGGCAGGTACGGCTTCAGTCCGTCTGGTTTCTTTGGGATGATATCTGGAGTGCGCCGTTGCTTCCTGATTAGGGGGTTCGACGACTTCTCTCCTCCTTGCGGTGTTGTCAATAGTGCAGTCCCTTAGACGCCTGCTTCCTCTCAGAACGTAGGCGAACGGTGCAAACGAAGACAAAAAGTACACTCATTGGGTTCTCAATGGATGTGTTGGTACTGCCGGTGATATCGCAGAAGCTACATGACAATGTTCTGAAACTTTGCTGGTGCACTGTGAACGACATGTACAAAGTACCAAAAGAATACGATATCCACATCAAGACATGAAACTACTTGCTCATGGATGAGAAAGAACACCAGCCTAGAATGACAGGAAAGAGTCGTAAAATATGCAGACATCACCAGGCAAGGAAAAGAGAGCACAAGAATGCCAACTAATCGCGACTGCAACCATGTTTCTAGAGCAGCCAGCAGATGTGGCGCAGAACCATATCTGAAAATTAGAGCTGGATCGAGAGCTTGCTTAGGAGTACTTGCCGCTATAACTGTCTTTGGACCACAAAGGCATTATCCCACTACTTGTTCGACCTTTTGTCGTGGCAGCCTACTGAAAAATCAATGCCTAAACCCTGAACCCTGCTTGCATCAGAACCCTAAACCTTAGGCCCTAAGCCCTTTTGCATCCAGGCCTATTGCAACTGCAATAGAAGACATGCTTAGGGCCTAAACCCTACAACCCCCTTCTCATCATTGAAGGCTCTAAGAGGAGGAAGGCTCAAACCCCAAGTAGCCTCATGAAAGCCTTCCCAGAAAAAGCCCCCCCTTTCCCTGAAATCAAGGAATATGGGGGGTTTCCGAAAATTAGGGGACCCTAATATTGCACCCTAAACAGTAGGATCCTTATTCTAAGGACCCCAAAATAAGGTGCCCCCCTGAACACGATCAACCCTTAAACCCCAGGTACATGCACCTCCGCGCCATGCGACGGTGCTATTTCTCCACAAATCGGATCGACATGGCCGGGGCGGCCATGGTTGAGGGTTTTAGGGTGCCTGGGAGAGAGAGAGAGAGAGAGAGAGAGGGTCTGAGGGTTCAGGCAAAAGGGGTTTGGATGGAAGTGCAGCCATGAGAGCTCAAGCTCCGGATGCTCAGACCTTCAGGCGCCCAGGCGATAGCACAAGTCCTGAGGCACAAAGGGTCTTGAAGTTTTCAATCCGGCAGGGGTTTGAAGCTTTCGGGTTATGTAAATTAGAGTATACTTCATAAGGGGACGACAAGGGTATACTATTGCTAAATTTTCCGGCCCCTACCTTATTATTATCACACCGGGACATGTAAGATACCTCAAGGCACCCTAAATAGCAAAAGCACAACACACAGCCCCCAAAACCGGTTGTTTTTTCTGAAGTTAGTACACTCAAGCCGCAGGTCTAATCACAACCCAGCCCTCTAAACCCTAGACCCAAAACACAAGAATGAGAATGAGCTACAATGAGCTGTTGCCTTGTGGCAGGATGCCCTGTTTGCCTGGGGCTTCCCACTGTCACTGGCACCAGCCTTGGTCTCTTTGTTTGCTGGGTCGAGGTAGAATTTACAGGGCTTTTTGTAGGGTTTCATGGTTTTTGGGATTTATCGGTTGTAGTTGACGCAGGGATTTGCAGGGCTTACGATATATGCAAGGCATGGCTCGTTCAAGTGTCCACGGCTGGAAATTGTAGAGTTCCGTTCCAGGCCTTGTTCCTTGGGGTGTGCGGTTTGCACCTCATAAAGCTTCATGCAGTCAGTCCAAAACCCTTAAAGGAAACCTAATAAATCCTCCAAAGAGCACTACAAATTATAACTCCCTAAACCCTAAACTCTAAACCCTAAACCCTAAATTACAACAGACCCATACATCCCTGTTCGAAGCCAAAGTCAGACCTTGGAGATCTGCGGACCTGTACGAAGCATGCTGGCTCGTTGGGGGGGGGGCAGAGCTGGGTAAAAGGGTTCTAGTACTTTAAGGTTTTGGGGTGTAGGGTTTAGGGTAAGGCTAGACTTGAGTCCAGTAGCAAATTAAGGGTTTAGGCTAAGAAAGAATTGAACATTACCCTCTACTGCTCCAGGCCTCTGAACCCTCGGTCCACAAACCCTTCTGACGAATGATAGGTGGTTCTAAAACAGGTCCTTCCTGGCTATGCTATGCGTATATGCATATCTGTAAGTATCGCTGCATTACTTCTAACACTTGTCATTATTGCTTATCCTGCACACCCGTCACCCTCGGCCTTCATCTGCTTTCAAGACCCTCAACCCTGGGCTCGTCCTTGCGAAGTAGGAGGCAAGAAAACCCGCTGCATCCATTTTGGCTCGGTTGCACCCGTAGCTCTCAGCCTGATTTCCTCAGCCTTGCCTTCCTTGGAGTTCCTTTCCGCGACCCTCAGCGCCATGTCCGTGATGCGTGCGATCTTCTTTGTGCTCCCACTCGCGGCAGCGGAGCCCCAGTCGCTTCGCGGAGCCTTCGACGAGGTGGCCTGCAGCGGCAACGGAGGCCTGGCAGAGCACACTCCATCGTGCTACGGAGGTCAGTTTCTTGTCGAGAAATTCTCGCTCCACGTCCTGAGCTATGACGGCTCTACGGGCATTGTGGACATGAAGGCGGAAGGTCCCCAGTCGGCCGAGTGTGATGGTGCAGAGTTCCAGAGTGACGACAACATGATCACCATCGAGAATGATCAGGGGTGTGGCTTAGGCAACTACGAGTACTCGGTGAGGTACTGCCCGGATCAGGACCATGTCATCGTGAACCTGGTGAAGCCCTACAACGCCCGTGTTGTCTTGCAGAGCCAGACTTGCCCCAGTGCCGGCGAGGTCTGAGATCCTCTTGAAGCTGCGCCGAAAGTGCGCAGGGCAGGGGAATAATTCATCAAGAAAATGTCAGCCCGTTGCTGGGTTCTTTCTTAATTCATGAGGCCTTTTGCATCCCATCTCCTTGGAGCACCTGGGCTTTCACACCCCAGATGGAGGGAGAAGATATGAAACTCCAGTCAGATCTTGCTTGAGGTCCGACACAAAAGAAGCAGAAGGGAGACCTGCAGCATTTCCCCCGGCTGGTGCCACCGAGCCATTATTTCAATGCATCATAAGCCCGGAGACTTTTGCACTCTGAGATGTATGCGTAAGCTTCGGAGTATTTATTGGACCACATCAGAGACTGAGTGAGGCACACGGCTTTCCAAACGGAGAGGGCTAGGCTCTTCGGGCAGGTCCTGGCGGCCAGCGTCTTCTGGCTCGCGCGGATACACAACTGGTGCCTTGGCAGAGCATCGGGTTACGAGCTCCGTGGGTACTTGGTTGATGGTTGTGGTGTTGCTTGGTAGGGCACTGGGGACAGTTTTCAAGAGGGCTTTTCGGGGCCAGCCCAGTTGTAAGTTGGGCTGAAAGCATTTGATCAGGGCTTCATAGGTCTTTCACGGTTTCGCCGGTAGGCGCAGTTGTACGGTCATAAATACGGTATCTAGCTTTTGCAGAGTCCAGGGGTTCATGGATAATTCACAGGCAGTTGCAGTAATACAGCTGTGGTCACCGTGCCTCGATTAAAGTGACTATTTCTAGCTACCCACAAACGTCTAAGCGTTTAAGCTTGGGGAAGCACTGGATGTAAACGACCACAGAGAAGACCAAGCATCCCCAGAACACTGCAACAGTACAGCACTGTATAATCTAGTCGAGTCTAGACTAGCAAAAGTATAGTATAGTCTAGCAAGTTCTAGTATAACACAATGATTGTGTAGTGACGAAGAGAGGGAGAGGCCGAATAGCAGAGACTTGAGACATTTAACAATGCTGCTGAAGATGCCACCCCACCACGTTGTTTCTGTGCTTCAACGTCAGACACACCGAGCGGGTGGTTGCACAGAATATGCTATAACTTACTACAATGTACTATAATATTTTGAAACATACGATGGTATACTATAATTAAAGCTCTGGACCTGGTGCCATGAGATCGGCACATCGGGCCTGAATGCGATTTATGTGGATCGACCGAGCGCACCACGCCCCTGCGAAGCCGCAGAACCGCGCCGGCCTCGTAGGCTAAGTAATCTCATCACTCTAAACTCTATTCCGAGCGTGAGAAATTAAAACCCTACGCCCTGAAACCGTGAGCGTGAGTCCTGTTTTCCTCAGACGGTTCTGCCGACTTACCCTGCAATGCGGGCTCGTCCTTGCTAAGTAGGAGAGGAGAAAACCCCAAGCTCTAACCCAAAGACACTGAGCTCGGACTAGCCCAACGGTTTGTGCAAGGACGCTGCTGGTAGTGCCGTTGGCGTGCGGAGCCCAGAGCACGGATCAAGGTCGCGTTTTCTTGCTGTTAGAGACACGAAAGCTCGGATTTCTAGAGCTTGCCGAGTGAACTCGCAGATGGTCCTGTCCTTTTTGCAAACGGCTTGTTTCGAGCGAGATTTAGGTTTTTCAATGAAAGTTTTGGGGATGTACAGGGAAAGGTCGCACAGAAGGCATGCTGCAGAGGGGTTAGTTAGATTTCTGGCAGGTTCGGGTTTGGCTTTTTGAAAGGACGGGTTGGGAATAGGGTGAAGTTTCTTCAGTACGGTTTTCGGGAATTTCAGGCTGGCTGTATTGTTTGGTTTGAGACCTGACAGTAAGTATGGTTCAGGGCGAATTGCTTCAATAACGCCTCAATCTTGGATCTGCGGCTTGGGGTTTCTTTATAAGTATACGGAATGCACAAGAGACCATTCCCTCAACCTTAAACTTGCCAAAAACTCTCCACCCCATGTAGGCTGTTCATACAATGGCATTAAACCTACAAGTGTGCGCTGGACAGTCAAAGAAAGCCTTCGTGCATGTCACTTACTCAGCGGCTTCAGCCGTCGGCCCAAAGCATCGTAGAGCCGTAGCAGTCTCAATCACGACATCACAATCATGACAGCAGGAGTTATCTTTACTCAGTCTTTACTAGTGCTTAAACTCTGGCTTTCACAGCGATTGCACATGCGTCCTTCGAACTGTTGCAGTCTAGCATGGATCGTCTGAGTTGTGAAGTTCCAAGCCGCATATTCTTCAGGGCGGCATGTAGTCAGCTTCGCAGGTAGTTTAGACAGCCTGGGTAATTGCTAAGCAAATAAATTTAAGTTACCACAAAAAGGAAACCCTATTCTTTACTATAGATCCCTATGATGTCCTATTATGGTAGCTTAAGTCAAAGCCCAGCTGAGGTGGATCGCTGCACTGGCCTTCTACCATGTTCTTCTGGCCTTCTGCGTGAACCCCATGGTGTTGCCGAAGGACACCAGTAATCCCTTGGTTTATGACCCAAGGGGCCCACTCTTACTCCCTCACATCCTATGCCTTGAACTCTATCCCCTAACCCCCCAAAACTGCAAGCCCGAAAACTCTAGACCCTAAACCCTAAACCCTGATAATAGTAATACTAACAAAAATACTAATAGTACTAGTAATAATAATAGTGACCCTGAAGACCCTGCGCCCTTGCTGGCAGAATCCTGAAACCCTCAGCCCGCCACTCTGAACCGTAATCCCTAAGAAAGTACGAGTGCCCGGACTGACTAAGCTTGCATATTCACACTTTCGAGCCCTCAAAGTGCTATGCTTCAACAGAACGCTGGCATAGAGTGTAAGGACGCAAGCTGAAACTTTCATTCGTACATCAATGCTTACATACGTACACCCATCCATCATTCCACCAATCCATCAATCCGTCCATCCATCGACCCATCCCTTCATCCATGCATCCATGCATTTAGGTAGGTAGGTAGCTGGCTAGATAGAAAGATCGGTAGATGTACATTCGTTCACAGCCGTGGACACCTACATGCATACATACGTACATGAGTACACATATATGTGCATGTATACGTACATGTAACTATGTAAATAAAAACCTAAATATGAACACACATGCACACACAAATGCAACTACATAAGCGCACACAACATGCAGACACACACACACACACGCACATCCATCCATCCATCCATCCNNNATATATATATATATTTATTTATTGGTTTATGATTTAATTTTATCTACTTATCTTTATCCGTGTATGAATGAAAGGATGAATGAATAATGACATGAAATGAGATGACCATGAAATGAACTGAATTGAATGTACGAGCCAACGAGTGAATGAATTCATGTATGAGCGCGCACATACACACAGAATTGACATTTGTGTGTGAATGCACACATACATCATACGAAGGACCGGGAAGTTGTGCATGCCACTCTGTCCGACATGCTTATGTAACTGGCTTGGCGCCCGAACTCATTGAAGATACTCGGAGCCTTTCATCGCTTCGCATGAACCTACTGAGAAGCAAGCCACAGCGTCCCTGTACCCGAAAAACTAGCCAGCTGCCTCCGCTGGCTTTGCTTAGTTAGGGAGACAGCCGGAGTCTGCCTAAAGCTTCAGGGTATACATCGGTGCACCCCAGACACCCGTTCTACCGCCGCACCCTTAACCTCTGGGCTCTGGGCAGCGTTACGGGCCACTCCGGGCCGGCGGATGGCGCCGCTTTAGTCGCCAGAGGCAGGCCTATGGGTCGCAGTGCTCTAGAGCTAAGGCGTAGTTATGTGCGTTGCCAGGTACCATTGTGCTGGAAATAGAATCGACTGGTCGGTGCTACGTCGAGTCTCAATTGAGCCTTCGCGTTTACGGTTGCCTTGGGCAGTCTCGTCATTCCGCCACCAAAGGCCTCAAACCTGAGCATTCAAGACCCTTCTAAACTATAAGCCCTACGGCCCGGGACCTCGAACACCGGCAATCACGAAGCCTTCAGTGAGCTTTCCGACTTTTTCGCCTTATCGTACTTCTTTCGTTTGGACTGTTTTCGAGGGTCTGTGGGGCTTCTTGAAGCACTTTTGGGTCACTGTACTCGTAGGTGGTGCTGCAAGTCCCTTCATTCGGTCTATTGGTTTCGACCTATTTACACGCATCCTCAGCTCATCTCAAGCTTTCCCCAAAACCCCCATGCCTCGCCTGGAGTGTCGGAGCGCGCGCCCCGAAACGCAAGCCTAAACCACGAGCTTTCAGATTGTCCTGAGCTACGAAGTCGAAGCTCCAATCTTCGCCTGCATCCGGGAGCCAATAGTAGCCAAGACACCTCTACACCGTGCAGTATTCTGAGTCTCCCGGGGTGCCCTAAATCCTAAACGCCTTGAAGCCATGCCTGCGCTGCGAGTGCGTGAGTCGAAACCCTAAAGCCCTAAACCCCAAACTCTAACCCGAAGCCCCAAACCCGAAACCGAACACAAACAACGGTTGCAAGGCTAAAGCGCTCTTCAAGTCTTGTTGGTTTGAGGTTTAGGCTTTCGGGAACCTCTAGTAGGCCCTAAACCTTCAGAAGGAACTTGAGCACTAAACTGTGAGAGTGCAATACCCTCCAACAAGGGAAAGGCTGGTGCAACAGAAGAGTCCAACCTTTGGTTCAGTTCAGGGGTAGCCCTAAACCCTGAACCCTAAAAGCATTGTCTTGTAAGGGTTGGAGTTCTTCAAGGTTTCAGGGTCTATGGTTTAGGGCAGCCCGTAAACACCCAGCCCGTAAAGAAGCTGCCAGATGGCCCTTGCGCAACGGCCGCTGGGCTTCCTTGGGTCACTTCAGGGTTTACGGATTTGGGTTTAGGGCGTCTTCGTTTCAGGTTCGTGGATTTGTCCAGAGTCGACAGCGGGGGTGATGGTGGTGCAGTCAGAGTCATGTAGCTCGCTGCTTGTTTAGAGGCGGTTTAGAGATGAAGGGTACTGTGATCTTTCGGCTTGCTGAGGCTGTTGCGCGGCCTGCTTGACCTCGTTGTGGGTGTAGTCAAGGACCGCCCATGCACTGTTGGTGCCCAGGGTCTGCTCGATAGGTACACAAAGTTAATTAGATATCTTCTTCCTTTGCATTTCCCAAGCACAGTACAACATGCATGAGGGAATTAGGGCTTCCCGGTACTTAACATACTTAAAAGTTCTTGTACGTCTGAGAACCTTCAAACCGAAACTGATCTCGTACGTAAAACAAAGCTAAACGCCTCAGTCCACGGACCCAGAGATTCTGAGATGATCCACGCCACGCTGTTCGTCATGTGGGTAGTTCTCTAAGTTATGGTCCCTTTTTGGGTCCCTAATATAGTACCGCACCCTTATAAAAGGACCCCAACAAGGAGCCTAATTTAGAAAGCTACCCATGTAGGGTTCAGGGCTTCGGGCTTAGGGTTTCGGGTTCAGGGTTTAGGGATGACGAACGCGGAAATAGTGTGCGAATTTGCTTAAGAGACCCTGGTCCTATAACCCCCAAAAACATTAGGATCCATCTAAGGAGCCCTAAAGAAAGACCCAAAGGTTTCGGAATCAGGTCCCAATATCAGGCAGCTTGTCAGAATGATGGCCGCAGGCTCTGATCCTCTTGGGTTCTTGTCTCTGGGCCTATCGGATCCGTCTCCTCTCTGTGCAGCGGCCTGCCTTGAGGTTGTTTAGCTTGGAGCGGGATCGGTGGGGTTTCGTGGTTCGGGCTTCCGCGGGGCAAAGGATTCAATTGTTTCTCAGTCAAGTGCCTCTGAACTGAGAGAGGCTGCTATTTGGGGTCGTCCTCTCTCCAACTTACCATGAGAGCGTGAATCCCACACGTAAAACCCTCCCGGCCCCCACAGCGACCCGAAACCCGGCAAGACTCGCCCTTGTTTTCTGGGATCCACATGGAGGGCCGGGCTTCATGGGGGTTGAGGAGGGCAGTGGGTTGCAACGACTGCACAAGCCCACATAGAAACGGTTCGGACCCTGCCCGGCTTTCTTTCTGCCAAGCATGTGTCTTGGGCATCAAGACGCTCTTGACTTCCTTGGGTAAAAGTATGCAGTCAACCCTTGAAGCCTGACAGGCCCCAAGCCACAAACTCCAAACCTCACACCAGACTCACACCCTTTGGGATGGTTTCTGAATAGAACGGCAGAGAGACAGAACCCTACATCCTGCACCCGAAACCAGAAAAATAGCCCTGAACCCAAGACGGGAGCTTCCTGATTCGGCCGACGCTGATGAGGGCTCTGTGCATTTGGGGTCGTCTAGCTCTTCTCCGGAAAATTCGACCGAGAGCTTTCACACCAGAAAAAGGGTCCAGGGCTCTCAAAAGGTTGTATCGGGTTTTTACAGGTGTTATCAGTTTGATCTTGGTTTTGGGGTTTCTTGAGTTCTGTAGGCTGTCCGGGATTCATAGGGTTCTTAGTTCTTAGTTACTGTTCTGCTGTGAAACTTATGGTTCTACGTTTCAGGGCTGGCGTTCAGCTCCTGGTAAGCCAAGGAAATATGGGTACTTGATCCACGAGTTTGATCCCTGGCCTCTCGGCGCTCGCAAAGGAGGGCCGGAGGGCTACTTTGGCAAGCTGGGGCTGTCTGAAGGTACGCAACCTGATACCCCAAACCACCCTACCTTGTACTATATTCGGATCCGAGTTCTAAGCCCGGACTTGAGCCCGCCGCCCCAAGCCCAAGAGAGGGACCTGTGGCTCGAAATTTCCACAAACCACAGCCTGGGCAGACCGCTTAGGGTATACGGGGTTTAGGGTTTAGGGCAACCATATATTAGGGCAGTACTGTAGCACAGGTAGCTGCGATGGTTAGTGCCCGAGTAGTGGCAGAAGGAGGCCGCCAAGGTTTGGGCTAAGACACGTCCGTGAACCCTAAACCCTAAACAACCCTAAACCCTGAGTCCCTGCAACCCGCGCGTGTTTGTGGAGATGCACTTTCTGTTCCTTGTTCCTCTCGGGGGTCTCTTCTGGTTTAAGGCGCCGAGTAAAACCAGTCTTGAGTAGAAGTAGATAGGAGATAGGAATCAGATAGCGCGGTGCAGTAGACTCGCATGAGTCAGAGACAAGATGTCTCCTATAGTGGTCAGCAGCCCACCTTAAACCCGAAACTCAGGTTCAATGCGAGGGCCACGAAGTATCTGGCAAAGCAGGGCTGGCATGCCTTCTTCCACTGGTACGACTACATGAGCCGATTGGCCTGGGCTTGCAGGGCTGTTGGAACTCCGGCTCTGGGTTTCGGGCAGGTTTAGCTCAATCCAAAAGCCTGGAAATCTCCTAAAGGAATCCCATCAGAGGAGTTGTATGCTGACTATGAAGGCCCCTGTATTCCCTATATTCCAACCTTCAGTTGTCCTCACCGAACCACTCGGCAATGTGAGCCCGTCCTTGCAAAGTAGGAGGCAGCAATAACCCTGAACCATAAACCCTAAACGTGCTGGAATCGTCAGCCGAAGCGCCTGCACCTCCATCTTCGGCTCGAAT